ATGCGAAGTGACAACAATGTGGATCAGCGAATAACAGCTGCATTACCTGCTAAATCCCAATTGCATGCAAAACCGCTACCTCAAGCCTCGAACTGTCATCTCTGGCCAGTGTCCAAGCTCATCGAGAATATCGATGGATCCGGTCAAATTGATTGATAGTAAAAGGACGGTTGACCTAGATTTATCGCAAGCATCACTGGGCGACTCTGTATCGTCATTTTGTTTGGATAGACGTACATCCATTGGTCATAAAGTTATGGAAGACGTGCCCGCCATCTTTGCACCTTACAAACGGTGTAATTGGGTACCACAACTTTCTGATTTCATCAATGAACCACATGGACTATGCTGATGTTGGTGTATGGATTGAGACCGGTGTGCCTCCACCGCGTATAGTGAATCCTTGTATATCGAGCGCAATTAAGCTGATTCTACCCATAGATGGAGATGACAGCAACCACTGACTCATCAATCGTTACGTAATCAACAGTATTAGTGACATGATGCAGACACACTGACTCAGCCCCAGTATTAACAATCATGACTCTTAGCTCTCCTGCATTCACCCTTAATCACGCGTACAACTTCCATTTCTAATCCTAACCACCCTTGAATAATTATTTAATAATGGGTTTAAACCGGAACTTAATTTTGTAAACGCATACATCCTAATAGTTATTGTCATGCTGCACTGATAACGCCTCAAAACTTCTTTTTATCGGATCGACGATGGAACTGTCAGTTGGCTACCTGGATTTCCACTTTTTTACAACCGAGAATATAACTACTCTCGAAACAACAAGCCGTACCTTCGTCGCATATTCATCACGCTTCCCACCTAATCCAAGGTTAACAGCAGCGGATGTAGCCTAATAGATATCAGCAATTTTAATAATGGGTGCAGCACACTCCACAATAGGGAGTTTCCAGCAAGCCTGTGAGCTCTTTCAACACCTCTATTGATCTGCTAAAGACGATATCGTCCATATCCGTTCAGTCGCTGTTAATGTGAAAGCCTACCTGGTCTGTTGCTACCTATACCTCGATCAGTTTGTATTATTACAGTGAATTCAAGTCAGAACGATGTGATAAACTTGGATTTGACCTAGTTTGGCTTCGGAAAATGAAGCTGAACCTATGTTTTCTTTACAGCATCATAAACCATCAAATTCGTAGTTCTGATGACGGTGTTCACATATCATTAAACAGCAGATATCCAATCCGTAACAAAGAGGTAAAGGTCATAACTCCAAAATTTACTGCAGGAATCAGAACGTTTCTTTCTAACCTAATACTCAAAGATTTGGAACAAACTTCAAGTGATATCAGAATATGCTATACACTTTGCAATTTTAACCTTGCGATTAGTAAGCATTTAACCGTCCAAAACGTGAATGATATGTTCGGGACATCACACTCCCTAGATAACGCATTCGAAACGGTATCCATGGTGCCTGAATAAATTTTCGAAACACATACACAAAACATTTCGGACAACAGCCCCTTCCATTACATTTTTTCTCGGCCCAAACATCTGTTATGTGCTTGCGAAGAATCCTGATTCAATAGCAGGAAAAAAATAGCAAAACGTTTCTGCTTACTCTGTGTTACCGAATTTGAAATTGAGCTCGTGTTTATTTCTGAAAATGTATTAATACAATGTCATGAAAAGGTTGTACCATTATTTGATCTGTTCCTTTTAGGGAACAGAAATATACAATTTATTTATTTATTTATTTATCAACAGAAATGACCAAGTCCATGTGGTTGCTGTAGACCGTCTTAAGCCAGCGTATACCCAACAACCTTGCGAACAGCAGTCAGTAGGTCCTCGGAAATGATCCTCTGCCGTTAACATCTAGCACCTAACGGCAGACACGGTCAGGAAGGAAGGTCCATTTTGCAGACCACTTAGTGTTTTATGCATCTTGATAGTACTATTGTGTGCGAATCACTTAGCTATACTACCTGCTGCCAGTTTTTTTCACTGGTTGTTCTCCAGCTTTTGTCAGGACGCGAAGGAACATCTCAAGCAAGACAAAAGGAACAACAGGAGTGTGCAGCAAGACTACCAATATTTCAAGTGCCATCCTTGTTTTACTCCCAATTTTTTCCTTGTACCTTGGATACATAACTATCCTGCATGCCTCCCATGCCTCAGCCTCGGGCATTTCTTGCGCCACTGTACCAGGTGGAGGTCAGTTTTTACCCGGGTGGTTCACTCCTTGTCGCTTGACCATCGTGCGGCTAGCTCACTGGTGGGAAGGTATGTAGTCACACCAACATTTCGCCACACAAGGACTGGTAAGACACTATCCTTAGTCGCGTGTTGACCCGTGGCCGAGTGGTCTGCGCGACTGGTTTGCAACCATAAGGTCACCAGTTCGAATCCGCATAGGGATGGGCGTCCTCGCGGTATACTCAGCCGTACGCGACTGGTGATTGCACGGCAGCGAAGTGCCGTTACGGTGTACAGCTGGCGATTAATTCACTTGGTCACTTCACAGCTTTACGAGCCCTATTAACCTTCATTCAAAAAGCTACAGGTAGCACACAATCGATACCAACTTTGAACAACTGTACACCAAGAAACATCAACACCTCGCTGCCTTCTTTCACAGGTTTCCTTCTTTCCTACCGTTATTAAATTTGTGGGAGCATTAAAATATATCAATGGGAATACTTGTTTCTACTTCTTTACGACATCCAAGATCAACGGGTCATTAGTTCTGAATCCGGCACTTAAAAAGCGCTCCTACAAATCATTCGGGTGAACACACAAATCACAAAAATTCAGGATTTGAAATCTGCGGTACATGCTTTGATTTCTCCGTCATAAAATTCTCATTGTTTCTGCCTGATGAACCTTGTGAGCACTTTTCCTCGACCAAGCCATCGAACTTCATTGTGGTACAGCAACGCACCGTACTTATCCACAATTTCTCGAGAAAGTCTCTGAATTTTCTGCCATTATGGACATCGGTTCATATGAAACTCATTGTGCTTATTACTGTCGTCGTGATACTTTCCAAGTTCAGCACCTTACCACACATTACCACTTGGTGAATTATGCAGTGCAATTCAATCAGCTTTGAACCGCCATTGGATTCCTCGACGCTTCTTTGACACTAAACCAGCGAAATTTTTAGCGCTGTCGCTGGTCACTGCACACAATTTTATCCACAGCAAATTAAGTTTATCAATAGTTGTACTGACCGCACTAAAGAGATCTGCTGCCGTTGGGTCATACGAGCTTTTCAAGATACAAGCTTTTCGGTAACTTCGAAAGTATTGCTAATTCTCCTAATGGAAATTAGCAACCATGAAGTGTCGGCTACATCCAGTGCTATAGAAAATGCTCTCTCCTGTAGTCGTGTCATCAAGTCCCGCCCACTATCCTCCACACATCTCGTAATGGTACAACGGGAGAGGCTAGCAGCTTCAAAAGCGGCCAGTTTTTGTGCAAATCAGCCAGCAAACACTTCTTCGCTAACTATCCATCTGGGAAAGGCGTGCATGATTTGCCAAGGATGTTTGCAACACGATAACCTGTTGTTATGGCAGCCACGTACTTTTCTAATTCTTTGCTGCAAACTTGTTTTAATCCACCAGCTAATTTCCTCAACATACCTTTTATTTTTTGCCGTGAATTCGTCGTACGTAAATTTCTGTTTTGTATCGTAATCTCTTCACACTATTCAAAGTCGGTGTGTCAGTGTTGGGAGGAGCAACACCGAACCACCTCCTCTTCACACTACGTTCCTTAAAAAATGACGGTTGTTTCTTGACATATCAAACAGAGTCTTGTCGTTAGGTTCGGCATAAAATCATTTTCCAATCATCTTTCTAGCTACCCTGCAGAGTTCACTTTTTGCTTCTTTTGGTAACCCATTCTGTTCGCTGCAACCATTGCACACACTCAAAGAGCTCTGAAGTGAAGCCGTGTCTGTTAACAGTTTTACACGAACATTCACAACAATAACGCTACCCGAATGGCGCCAGTCTCTGATTGAGAGTAATCTAGGTATTAATCCTGGAAGAGAGAGTTTAATGTAAGGAAAACGAAGTTTCCAATATGTTTTCACTTAAAAATACGAGGCTGGTCAAAAGTCTGTGAGCCGTAGGTTGACCACCACTAGTCTACACTCTCGCGTCTTTGTTCGATGATTCGCACGCTGTGAACATTCTGCCCTCCTTTATTGCTTCCAGATTATCAGTTAACACAATTCAATGTCGTACAAGTCAGTTGGGCTATTTAACATTTTGTTTTTTTCCACATGATTTATCTTTTTCTCTATTAAATTCCTTTACATTGTTTTACTCTACATTGGCGTCAGTCTCTTGGCATTGGATGAACGCGTCCTGTACGTGCATATTCGAAATCGGACACATCCGCGTCACTAGGGTTGTCGGGGAGAAAGTATTCTCCCGCGATAAACTATTCTTTAAACGAGAGAACCACTTGAACCAGCAGTGTTTAATAGGGGAATCCAGTCTTTATTTCATAAAACTTGTTGGACGACTAGTTAATATATTTAGGATGATACACAACGTTTCGCTTTTGACACAAAAGCTTCGTCAGGCAAAGTGAATTTGCTTAACATTGGCATTTTATAACGATCATGGCTAAGCTACATACAGAGACTAATCAATTTTGAGGAATATTCATGTCTGTCACGTGTCACCTGCGTTTCCTTCCCCATTAATTGGCAGATGACCCATCTGGTCTAAAACGTAGACATTGCTGGGTTGACCTATAAATGTCCTTTTAACTTTACACTGTATCACTTCATTGCTTTACCTTCGTCACGCTTTTGCGTTCATTGGTTGACTTCTGGTATTGGCTGGGACCGGAGCTCCCGGGGAACGAGATCATTTCAACCGGCAACGCTTAGACAGGGAGAGATCTAACAGCTAACTCATTGCTCACGGTATCTTTACTTTCGGGAACTTGCTTGTATTTTATTGTTATCATTTTTCTGCTCTTTTCTCGTTTGTAGCAAGGAACGCTCACATCTCGTCGCACCCAATTTGAACGCAACTGCCTCACCAGACCTCAGTTCTCTCGAAGCCCGACTCCGCAACGTCATCACGAAGCGACCGAGGGTTCCCGATGTGTCCACCGATCAGGCATCCGTGCTGGCTCCCAAATTGACACCTAACCCTGTGCCAAAAAGCGGAGGGGCGATTCCTGGATGTTCCATTTTCAATCCTGAATCTCCGGTTCCCTCTGTTCAGGTGCGTATGTTCACCACTACGGAACCCTTTGTCTTAATATTGTTCGTTGCTCCCCTGTGCGCATACTCTTCTTGTAGAGAATTAGCAGTCATCCGTTAGTTGGACTGTCTGCTCATGTGTGCGGTGTCTTCTCGTAGTTCCCTCTCGCTTCGTCAACCGAGGGGTTCATCGGCTCTGTGGTGTTTTACCTATATGTGTGGTTGGTGACATAGGCTACCAAATCACCTGCTCACAAGCATTCGGGGATGGCTACACTTAATACAGTGATCATCAATCGATTTGTGGTTTAGTGGCCCAGAATTCTAGCCTCCAATTCCTGCACCCCGAGTTTTTACACCCATCAATGTCTGCGTTTAATGCTCATGGTGGTATCACAGCCAACTGAATATACTTGGCAGCTTATTGTCGGCACTGTGGAGTACTATCCTGCTTCTGATGTCAAATCGGCCACCATTTTCATGTATTCTTGGGATCTTGCACCTCATAACCACCACCGGTGGAACGTCTAACTGACGCTTCGCTGCATTGGGACCACCGTCGGTTGAGTGCTTGCGGAGGGTACTGCGACATCACCCGCACCCACATAGCCTCAAATCGGTAACCTGTTGATTACATACACAGGGTCTAAACCACTCGCTCACCGGCCGACAACAGGCGGTCGATAGTGGGAGACATTCTCTTGTGCTGCCTGGAGTTCAGATTCCATTTGACTAAAGCAAATTACCTGCTAGCATCGGAACATATCTCTGCGTTTCTTGGTCTTAGTAATTGCTTCGCTGATCGGGTTATATCGGTTAACCAACTAAAGTATGAACTGTCTGGTCATTTAGTTACTTCGTCCGATTGTCAGAAGTGCAAAAAATACAATTTGCCGATTTACTTCTACCCAACTAAGGAAGTTGATTTGGTTTTGACACAACCTCTTATTATTTTCCACCGATTGCAATGATGCGATTTTGCCACCACCATATGCATATTCCTCAAAGGCGTGGGACACGGTTCAGCGAAACTGGGTGTTACGCCCCTAGGTAATTAAATCAAGCTTCTGTGTGGCAAGTGAGGAACGCTAGGGTGGGCGTAAGTCTTGTTGTGTCACGCGGACACTAGACCTTTAAAATCAATCCATAGTCACGACAGCAGCTTTACATACGCACGCACGCACCACGTGTCCGGCAGTTTCACGGTTGATCATATTGCGCAAATAAATTCTGCCTGATATTACTAGTGAGTAGTGTGGATTTGGGTGTAATTTCGATGTAGTTCATCACAATTACCTGTCAAGCAGCTTCGCACCCATCTTGAGAAGCATGAAACGGCCGTTTCGTCCTTCTGGGTCTCGTCATTGGGGCTCGTACCTCGGATCTCTACCACGTTCCGACCCCATGACTTCCGGATGCCAGCAGCTTGTGCCTCTAAGTCATGGTTGACGGTGGCAGAACTGCATGTGTGACAGTCGGCCGCGATATAGCGCGGCTCATCCTCCACTGTCATGCCATTTACCAACTGTGCTAAGGACAGTGATTGACCCCAGATCTACGACTTTCTGCATGGCGATTGTGTACGACACAGCACTTAGAAGCCATACGGACGAATTTTTGATTATAAATGGTTGATAGTATAAACACTTTTACAGTTACGTCTGGGTGATGTGGTCGAAGAGATACAATCTACGTATGTTGTAGGACCACTTAAGCGTTCACAACCACAAGACAGATTTGCTCGACTTCTAGTTTTATATTCACCCTTTTTCTTCCATGGACCGATGTCACCTCTGCGACACAAGTTTGAGATGGTCATTCACAGACAGATCATGCTCTTGAAGTGGCCTACAATTTTGTGGGTCCCCGAAAAAAGAACCCTTCAGTCGCTTTCAATATGTTATCCAACATTAAAAACGAGGGCTGTGCTACGATTCTTGCAAGCATGTCGTGCTTCGGGCTGCTGCTATCTTACTAGTTTCCTCTGTTTGCTCTCCCGCAAACTTTCAAATGTCGCATGCCCGCAATCACATGATTCGTCTACGATTCCTGCTCATGAGTGATTTCAACTTACTTCTAATACAGTGACTTGAGGTCAAACTTCTTCCCGGCTATTGTGAAGTCGAAATTAAGTTCGCGGTGATCATACTTTGAACTGGGGCCACACAGCACATCAACCAATCGACGCGCATGACGGCGTTCTCGATTTCTCCGTGCTTAAACCCTCTATTGACTAATTGTGAGCAACGTGTACACGACATCCAAGTTCTAGAGCCCATGGGACTGGGTGACCACTCGTTGATCAAAGTCAGCTTGGAGTTGCCGCTGCTGTATTCTCCTCCGTTGGAGCCAACCTTTAACTACTGGAAGGCAAACTTTATTGGCTTCATTCGGGCCGCGAGCCAGATGAATTAGTCGTTACCCAAAGATTCATCTGCTGAAGCTTGTTGGTCTATTATAAAAGAGAAACTACAATCTTTTTTCGCCAGATTTGTATCCCTTAAGTATCGGAAAGTTGGGCCAGTCAAGCCACATTGTTTCGACAAGGATTATAACAAAGTAGATCGACGGCGACGCAGACTATGGAATAGATTCGTCTTGTCTGGCTTTAATGGGTATTAAGAGATTTGCAAGAGACAGCGGAACCTTTACAACAACGCTAAAACACAAAAGCGCTGCAACAAATACGGCTCCGAAGAGGATTTTCGTCCACGTAAAGCAATGCCTGAAGCCTGTAGGCAATGTGTCAAGGTTGGAGCGCTCGTATGGACAGCTCATAACTTCGAGCACTGATCGTGCGTTCTCGTTGACGGCACCCTTTGCTTCCGTATTTGCAAATGAACAGGTATCTGTACCGATTCTGACGGGTACCACCCCAGCCTGGACTGTAGAATTGAAAACGTACACAAGCCACTGGCCAGTCTTAAGGGAACCAGGTTTGTCAGGCCTTAGGAATTCACCCACCGATTTTCAAGTCATTATTGGTCATCATCCCAGTTTTCGTAACGGAGCTGTTTAACAGGTCGCTGTTCATATGTTTATTACCGAGAGACTGTAAATTCTCGGTCGTAAAGCCAATACCCAAAAGCGGTGACCCGCGAAAAGTGGAAATTACCAGCCGATTTGCTTAACCGCCGTTTTGGCTAAAGCACTTGAGAAGATCGTAAAGAACGGTCTTCCACGGCCTCTCAAACAGAAAAGCCTTTCGTCGATTACACAGTATGGTTTCCTGAGGTCGCTCGTGCATCACTAATCTGCTTGTGACGAGGCAAGAATGGTTGCAAGCGCTAAACCAGAGGAAATCCGTCGACGTCGTTTACCTCGACTTAAGTTAAGCGTTTGACGAATCGCATTACGAGATCCTTCTTCACTGGTTGAGGTTATGTGGTGTTGGTGGCTCGTTGCACCACTGGATCAGGAATTTCCTTATTGGTCGAAAGTGGAGAGTCCAGGTCAACAATCATCTGACCGTCTGCTATCCCTCGATCAGTGGCTTGTCCCAAGGCACTGTACTAGTGCCCATTTCGTTCCTGATCTATAAAAACCATGTGCCTCAGCTTCTCCGTCCGCATTGTATGTTGTTCGTAGATGACTTGAATGTGTGAAGAGTACACAATGCATCCGATGACTGTGACCTACTTCAGCTTAATATCCACCACTTCTCCATGGGGTCTGCGGGGGGTCAACCTCGATAAACCCCGTCAAGTCGCTATTCATGAGCCTAGGTAAGTGTCGACACAGTCGAATCTGCCATGTGGCCGGTTAACCCTTGAATCCCACGACTTTCGTGTAAGAACTCGGTGTACTCTCACGCTGTGACCCAAATTCCGTGGACAACGCGAATAGGCTTTATCAAAACGGACTTCGCATGCCTTGGGCGTTCAAGCGCAGCTTCAACACTTGGTCTGAAGAGATTGCCACGTCTCTCCGTCTCAATCATGTGACCAATACTAGAATACGGCTCAACTACTTACTGTTCTTTCACCTGGGTCGTGGTGCAATGGATTGCGCGAGTACAGCATGTGGCCACCAGGTTCATCACCATTTTACTCAGTGTGCCGTACGAAGACAGATGCAAGAGGCTAGGACTTTACACCTCTTATCGTCGAGTGCGGGTTTACCCCATCATGAGGCACCAGCTATTACATTTCGGTGATTACCCCATGTTGAGACCACCACTCCATATGCGCTCACCAAGCAGCACACGGGGACAACGATACCAGCTTGTAGTACCGGACTTTAATCGGATTGCTTAACAACTTTGTTTCGAACGATGAGGTCCTGAGGCTTTCCTACGCCACGCTACTTACTACACGCTACTCAACAACACACTGATGATGATGTCACATAGATTAGTGACGAAACGTTTGCAACGAAACTGCCAAGTTCAACGAACAGTACAACTCCTACTGCAGTTCATTCATTCGCTCATCAAGTTACTTCCCTAACAGGATGTAGCATACCCCTCTAGGCGAGTGATATCCGTTGCAACCAGACTGGACCTTAACGTGGTGTGACGGTTTGTCCACTTCTTCGACCCATTAAACTATACTGGATGGTGCACTCGGACGCCTTGAGATCTACTCATACCGGGTTGGTCAATAGTTAGAGTTCAGATAAACTCTGTCTCTTGGTTTTCTAATTTGCGGTCGGTAATTGGATGACATCTATTTATATACAACCGAATCGTTGCCACGTCGCGATCAGGCTTTTGAGCCAAAGGCATTAATTGAGGACCCTAATCGTTCTTCTATCTAAGTTTGGGTGAGCACATAGGTCAACACGCTGCACTCGCACGCACATTAGAAACCCTGGGTATTGACGTGTGGTGTGTTTCTGCAACTAGAATCAATGGTCCTCACGGGGATGTTGAATTAACTGCGCCCGACGTCTCCTCTTTGCTATTGGTTGTACGCATCCGGAGACGCTGATGCGAAAATCACTGGTCATACCACTGTGGGCATTGTTCTCAGCTCCAAGGCTGAGTCATGGCTAGTTGATTGCATTCCCTAAGCATCCGACATCAACTAAGGTTACTTCACGAAGTAACACTGATTATGCACCCACCAACTGCAGTTCTGACGCTACCAGCATGCTGCTGCGCAATGTTACCAGACCAGATATCGCTGTTGTTGCAGGGGCTATGAGTCCGCAAGTAGGTCATCTGGGCTCCTCAAAAGCTCAGCTAGGTAGTATGGGCTTTATTCCGAACGGACCGACAATGGTCAGCGGCTCGCGGAACACCAGCTGTTTCTTTATTGCACCGCTTTTAGGTGCAGTGGGCGCCAGTGATGTACCCAAATAAATCACATTACCATAACTTACAGATGTTATGGTTCCATCCTGGATCGTCGCTCTTTCTGGGATACCCTCGTCCACCCTGATCATGCCTTGGTACGCTGTTGTTTTTTCATGAACTTTACCGGGAGCCTTACCAAGCATCTCCGTCGATTACCAATGAGAAGTTATCTCAGTCTTCAGTTAGCCAAGCCCACCAGGATGTTTTGCTTGTCGAAATTTCTCTCTATCGCCTAAATGACACCGTAGTTCAGTGTAATAGGATGTCGGCCGCCATGCACGATGCGGATGTCTCTGCTTTCGGCACTGTCAATCATCACCACACTATCCGCTCGATACTCGAAAGGTCGATGAATCTGTTGGAATTGCGCAGAACCTCCTGCTGTCTCTGAACACTGTAACCAGAGGGTTTACTTGGCGCGAACGGAAACGGAGCCTGTGTTACTAAGGAAGCCTGGTGGACCAGTAGAGCTCAATTCTTGGGCGAGGTTAGAGCAGTAGGCATTTATTGTATGCTCTTCCCATTAACCCTCATTTATGGCCTCACGATACTTCGCATCAGTAAGACAATCAGAAACGGTATAGGTGTGCTAATCCCAGATATGGAGCTCCGGCTGACTCGATTGGTCGTGCCCTTTCGAGAGCGGTTCAGTTTACCCCCTGCCCTTGAGTGTCTTTACTCAGTTGGTACACACTGAGCCATGGTGGGTCAGTCTACAGGCACCATCGGAAGCTGAGGTTCCAAACGCGATCACAACCCTTAATCGTTTCCGAGCCGCTGACTCAGATTCCCTTGAACCCGCACTGTTTCAGGATTGTGACGAGATTCCCTGCAAATCATTAGCCCATCTGCTCGAACAAGTCTGGAAGAATAGGACTATCCCAGCGAACTGGTGTTGCTCGACCATACTGACAATACACAAGTAGGGTAGTCGCGCCTAATATGCTGACCATAGGAGTATCAGCCTCACGCTGGTGGTGACGACATTACTGGCCTCAATTCTTATTCATTGCATCAGTGCGAAGCAAGAATCCCGCATTAGAGAAAAGCAAGCATGTTTCCTCCCATGACGGGGCACTATAGACCACATTTTCACTGTGCCAGGTGTTAGCACAAAGTCACGCATACCGCAGACCGACACTAGCTGTGTCCCTCGAATTCAAGAGTGCGTTTGTTTCAGTCGATCGATGCATTCAGTTCGGAATACTTGCGCGGAAAGGTGTTCCCATGAAATATGTGAACATTTTACATGCCCTCTATTAGAACACCACCCTTACCAGTGTCTACGGTGCCTTGGATGTCTTTCTAACAACAAGTGGCGTTCGTCAATGTTTCTCAGTTTTACCATTTTCATCCAACTTCGTTGTGTTCTCCCTCATGGAGTGTTCCATTGCGGGATCTCACGATGCAGGCGCTAAGGTGGCTTCTGGTGGAAAACTCGTTGATCTTGCTAGTGCGGACGTTATTGCGTTGTTGAGGTGGCGCAATCAGCCATCTAGAGTGGTCCCATCATTTTACATGCACCCTCAAGGGGCACTGTTGTTGCAGGACCACCATCCACTTGATGACCACTTGACTCTGATAGCGAAGAACTCAATGTATTTGATCAATTCACGTTGAAAGCTGTATCAGCAACAATAGGCGCATAACCACTGAAGTCAGTTCACGTATTGCGGAAGTTAGAACTGCTTTCTTGAACCTTTCACATCTTTGGCGTCAAAAGAGGATTTTCCTCGGTTTGATAAACGGTGTTTACAATGCCCAAGTGCAACCACACTCTGTGGGAGTGAGATTCGGACACTTCTGTCGGAGGATCTGAGGTGCCTTCAAGTTTTTGATGGTCGTTGACTGCGACACATTACTGGTGTCGGATGGCAATAGCGTATCCGCAACCATGATGTGCATAGGTGAGTGGTAGAAGTTGGTAATCGCGCTAGTTCCCTAGAACAACAAATATGATTGAATAGGTTGTGTCGGCCTTAGTGCACGGTCCTAAAGGTATGATCCGTCGCTGTTTTCCCTAGGATACCCTTATTTTATTTGCCGGATGTAGAGTGGCGCCATGCTCGAAGTGGGAAACAGTTAATTTGAAGGCGGAAAATGAGCTCTCTGACGACCAAACTCGGTGCCGATGGTCCGTCCCGCCTTCCAGGCTGGAGTCCACGCGACCAGCCTTGTGCTTGACTGAAGACGTTACAGAACATGGCTTGCAGTTGGCACGAGTAGCGCGTCTGCTGTCCTCTTGTAGTCGGATCGGCTGTTTGGAGTGTGTTTAGTACTGAGGTATATGTGCGATAATACCTGACCATGTTGTTGACAAGGTGTAGGCACCTTGGACCTGAATGTTTTCTTAGGGCATTTAAGTTTAAGTAGCAGTCTACCTGCTGATTACAAAGAAGTACTAGGTGGAGTTGAATGGTAACAAGTCATATAGTCATCGCACACCTTGAAAAAGTACTATACGGCCGTTTTATTCCCTCAGGAGTCGTCAACAGTGCGCACTCCAGCTGGTTCCTGTGAGGATAGAACCCGAAACCCGACTGTTACCAGACCATGATGAGGACCGCTGGGTCATGGGGGACGGTAACGATCGTCGTGGTTACGTTAATAGATGCGATATAGCACGTTACTGCCGTGTTGAGGACTAGGTATCCCGCTGACTAAGCGACGAACTTACTAACTTAAGCCGCCAACTAACATGGCATTATAAGCAGCTTGGCGTACGTGCTGATTGCGATGGAGTAGTAGGGGGAGTTGAATGGTAGATATATGATTAATCACATCTAGACGCAGTTAGCTAGCCATCACGCGCCCGGAAAGCACTGCACGGCCGTTTCATCCCCTCGGCAATCATCAACAATGCAAAGGTAAAAGGCATCAGCAGTAGACCGGTACGCAATACCGACGCTTCGCTGCCGCGCTACCACCACCTGTAGGACGTGGGCTAAGGATACTGCCCGTCGCCCTGTTCCTATGCAGGCTTGAACTCGCGCCGTCAGCATAGAAATCAATCTTGTTACCTTTAGGCTACGAGCCGGTAACAGTGCACATTCCATGTGGTCCCTGTGCGGCTTGAACCCGCAACCCGACTGCTATCAGTCGCAGTGAGGACCTCTGGGCCACGGGGACGGTAACGACCGCCGCCTTTTCGGGCGTGTAATGACTGTCTTACTGAGGCTAGACGGGACGAACTACTTATGTCATTCAACTCTCCCTACTACTACTTCGCATTTAACTTTCACACTAGTTCTTCTTTCTCTCACTTTTATTATTCTTCGTTCCATAGACCATTGTGATTGTACGGCCGCGAGGAATCAGTTCAAATGGTTGATGTACTGCCGTTGTTGATAATGGTCGGTTATGTTTATGTTTTCACCTATCTACATTGACCGAACGTCCGCATGCTAGACGGGTTTACAGGGTTTTCTGCACCTGGCGTTCTAAGTATCCTTCACAACTCTCAGCTCGTCTCCATAAAACGACGGACTGCCTACTGCATGGGAACGCTCAAGCTGATGACCATATTTCTACTCTAACTTTCAGACAACTCCCGTTATGGTTCATCTCGAATCACCCCTTTCTCTGAAGCCCAAGGATTCTGATTCCCTGGGTAAGCAACCTATCAGATTGATTTTGTTGGTATGGCATCGCGTTTTCGTGGTATACGTATTCTACCGATACTTGCCTGTCTTTTTTTAATCATTTTTACTCTCCGGGCCGGTTTTGGACCGAAAATTGCGGAAATCTCCGTGTTTGTTTCCATACACCTAACTGACGAATTGTTTTGCGAGTCGTGATTATTAGAGCGTACCGCAGCTCTCCGTTCTAGTTTTCCAGCTCCATCTCACTGTAGCCATGCTGAATCATGACCCGGTTGAGCGTGTTTAGAAGAAATGCTTGCATGATTCTGAGACCAGCGTATTAGTATTAGCGCTCATCCTTTCATTTCGATATCAATGCTGGTCGCTTATACTAAGGATTTTCTCTATACGACAATGCATAATGCAAAAATAGCGGGATCACAACTACCTTCAACCAGTCGACGACATTGGTTCAGCTTAGCGTTACTTAATACCTTTAAGCAGTCCCTAACCGGGGTCGAGATAGCTTACCTCTACCAAGTCGCTTTAGTCCCACGAACTTCACATGGGAAGCGGCTTGCGCGAATTTCGGTTCACACCACATAGGTGGGATTCATCAACGGACGCATTAATGCTACAGTCTAGTGGAAGCAGTTGCCTCGACTCTTGTCCCTATATAGTGGGCCGAAAAGATGGATAGTTCGATCGAAGAATCAATATTTTAGTGGCAAAGGCAATTGCTTGCTTGAAAACACCGTCAAGAGAAGTGAGAGCTTGAATGTGAGGATTTCACTGACTTACTATCTACATTATGGCAGGTGGAGTCTCTGGCTGTCGATGTGCTCGACTTGTGTCTGCCGCCGTTTAAGACTCAGACATCAATACCATTCCATCTTGCCATTCGTCTGCATGCTTCTTCGTCATGTACTCACCTAGTCCCCTTTGGGCCTAACCCAACTCGACACTTTCGCAACAAGCAGAGCCTACCTAACTGGGTGGTCGGCAGTCACACGAACTTGACCGAAAGGGTGTTCATAGTAGTGCACTTCTGTCGAATCTTTCAGTGCGTAGTCTGAGCACATACTGCCAAACACCAGCTGCCCTGTTTGAATACCATTCCTAGTATAAATTCTGCCAAGCATAAGCATTTCTTCGCAACCATTTAGCATCAGTGTTATTCTACTGCTTAGGGTTTTCAGCTTGCACTGAACACGCCCGTAGTCCATACATCCACGTTGACCGCTTATGGAGTGTATATTCTGCCGAATGACTAGCTTCTGAATCTGGGATACGCTGAAGCCATAGCCATCGTTAAACCGAAGTCATGCGCTACTCGTACACCTTCCGATGGATTGACTCGAAGCGCAGGATCGGGCCGACACGCCGCTTTTCCTAGCAATTACCAAAAACCCACCCTAAAATGATAGATCGACCCAGTTATCTAACTAGTTCTACCACCTCTGGGGTCACATCGCTAGTGAGGCTACGGATTGGATAGGCAAAACTTGCGTGGTATTCTAAATTCTCCGTCATCTATGGCGATGGCGGTGTATCAGCCCATCAATTAGCCGCATTGAATGTACACTAGTGTATGGGACACAGATATTGGCCAATTCACACCGAAGAGATTTAGTGATTCGACATATCTGATCAGAAGCGCCTGCGAACTAATGCCCAAATTTGGCGTCACAGTTTAGTAGCTGGTGTTTGTCAACGGATTCACTAGCATCGCGCTGTTATGTGTTATCTTCGTGGACGAGATCAGCCACCTAAACGGTTGGACACTTTACCCGACTTGACGTAATCACGGAGCCACTGAACTTTGTGCATCTAACTGGTAACACACCGACTCGTTCAGTCTTGACTTTTTTCCAAATTCCCCTTGCGTCTTTACTCTTGTCGCGTTCTACCTCATTTTCCTTTCCATTGCTAGTGACACCTCTATCCACGTGACGCGAGTCGCGATAGCTGAATCGACTGAACTTCGTTCTCCTTATCAGGGTTGTTTAACTGAATTGACCCCAAGGAACGTTTGTCGATCCTGTTCTTGACCATCTCAATTAGTGAATGAGGCCGTGAATCACCACCGTGGTGAGTGATGGACCACTCGATCGCTTCGACTGCACCAACCGATGGTTGTGCGCATCGCTAATCCTAACAAATTCTTTTATTGTCTAACGTTGCGCTCAGTAGCGTGCGTTTATGAATTGGGGTAAACTAGGGGAGGATTATATCGTCGATACTCTTCGGTGTGTCAACCGATCACCCGTCACAGTTTCCAGCTCCATAAAAACATCTACCACCGATCCGTTGTTGACTGTTTCGGTCACAGTAAAATGGAACAATAGTATAATACAGATAAAATAATCAAAGCTTGACAAGTCCCGTGGGATGGTTTGTGGGAATAACGTTAGTTAAAAAGTTGCACAAAACTGAGAAATTGCATCTGTGGACTCACCGTATTATCCACATTAACCTAAAGGTATATCCGTCTACCCCGATTTCGTGGCGTTGGTGAGCACAGTGTTTGCCTGCGCCATGCCGTCACTCAATGAATAGGTATCAGATCAAGTAATGTAGGTGGTTTAAAGCATCGTCGATTCTTTTTTTAGTGGATAGCGTTGGCTCGGAAATGACGAAAGTCGAAAGAGCGTTCCACGGTTGACAAACTCGAAGGGAAAAGTAATTCCGGCGGCATTCCAGCCTACTATATTGGGTAGCAAGTTTCAACTTATGACCCCTCAATTCCCTGTTGCGGCTAAGCTTCAGGAGGTGGCGGCAGACGTGACCGGGGTTTTTCGAGATCTGGAACGCCAGGATGAGGTCACCCCGTAGACGGCGATATCATCCGCTGTACACTCCCAGGGCTTTCAGCCGCATATGGTGTTGCAAGTGGGACAATCCCTTCACATTTTTCGTTGCCCTTCGCTGGGCGGTCTCCAGCGCAGCGAGATCGCGTTTTAACCTGGGTTGCCAAGCGTGGATTTCGTACTCTACATGGGGCCTCACATATGCATTGAACATTTGGAGAAAGATGGTGGGATCGAACCGCCCGAACGCTCTCCGTAACACACTAACATGTTGGTTCGCGGTTTTGGACGCCTTCAAGGACTGCATCGAACAGCCGACATCGTTTTGCATCACCACCCCAAGGTCTTGCTCGTGTGAGGCGGTTTTCAGCATGTCGTCTCCAAGCTTATATGCGTTAGTGAGCTTGTGGCGGACATGCACAGTGTTGCACTTGTCCGTGTTAGACGGAAGTAGATTTGCCTTTGACCATTCATAAGCACGGTCTAAGTCTCGTTGTAGCATGTCATGATCTTCCTGACAGCCCATCGCCCGCCATGTTTTGATGTCATCTGCAACAAGTAGAAAATTCGACTTTATGACACGTGCGAGGTCGTTAATGAAGAACAAGAGTAAGCGATACCTTTGTGGAACACCGCAGTTTACCTTAATTGGGTAAGAAAATGAGCCTCGAACTCGAACCTCAAGGCGCTGCTGAAGGAGGAAGAGGTTTCCGATCCATTCAAGGATAGGGTTCTGAACCCCATATATTTGCAGCTTTTGGGGAAAGGTTGCGGTGATTTATGCGGTCAAATGATTTAGAAATTCTAGGAGTAGATGAGATCAGTGTTAGTCCCACTATCGGATACCTCGGTTCAACTGTCACGGGCAATCAGTAGCTTGTTGGTAGTACATCGCTGATGCTGACGGAATCCGTGTTGCTCTGGTGCTTTCAAAGTAGCCCTTTAGAGCCTCAGCTATGATCGACTTCATCACCTTAGAGAGCACCGCGAAGAGAATCACTGGGCGATAGTTGGCGGGCTCTGAACGGCTACCACTTGAAAATCGGGGTAATGATGCCCTTCTTCCACATGGTAGGAGCCTGTTGTTCGTCCAGGCATCTTTGGAAAAATCTTGTTAATAGTTCAGCTATCCTCGTAGCTGCCACCTGCAGTACTTTCGGAAGAATGTTGTCAACTCCGGGGGGCTGTGGGTACGCAACAGCCGCAGCTTCCTCAAAATGGTCGCCGAACTAAAGGTGCCGTTTGTAAACACGCGTCTGGAAGATTGGGACAGGTATGTTCCACATGCTGGTAGCACGTCGGAAAATTGGAGCATATTTAAGCTGTAGAATGTTGGCTACATCCACGGCGGTTTGCGCACATCCATCTGCTGCTACTAGGAGGGGGAACACCATGTTTCACATTTTGGTGGCTGTTCACATGTCTGTGCAGAAGCTTTTTGTTAGCACAAAACTTTTCCGCTAGACTCTGCTGGTTTACTAACTTGTCCTCACACACAAGTGTGGTACAGTGAATTCGATGCACAACATAGTTATTCCAGTTGTCAGCGCTAGGGTTCGCTCTATGCACATGCCACGCTGCGTCCCTTACTGTCATGTGTTTTCGGTTTCTGCCCCGAATGAATGAGTGTGCCCTTGCAGGACGTAGGGGCTTGTTGACCACGCAGATTTAATCAGATCACTGAACTTGTCAGTAAACTCCATCCAAGCACTGTGAATAGAACAGTCGTCCGAAAACTCCCAGCTGGCATCTCCCACAAGTTCTGCCAACATGTCGTAGTGGGTGATTGTTCGAAACAAGTTACCATGTAATCGTGGATACTCCGCATAACACACGATGTTGTAAACTATGGTTACTTGGTCGCTGCGCCCCAAAGGGCTTGGTTTCGCAATCATGAGCTCTTCGTTCGTAAGCACAGATGGTTTATTTCCGGCTCTGAATCGGGTGGGTGAACTGACACAACTCAAGTGCCGGATGCTTGCAATATATTCTTACAGGTCTACCTTAAATTGCTCGTTGGGGGATGCCGGAACTTCCAAATCATGCATATTGAATTCGACTGAGATGAGAACAGGACTGTGTCCTCGTCTTAGGACCCTTCCCAAGGATAATGTCTGTCGGGAGTCCATCTCTGGGATGAACATTGAGGGACGATAAACAACGACCAAAAGGCAAGTCTCGATGCGTCTCAGTCCCAGACTGCACCAGAGTGAGTGGGTGATCAGCGTTTCCGGGTCGACCACGGGTTCGCACTGCAGGTCGTTGCGGTAGTGTAACATTACCCTCTGCCCTTGCTAGGTCGATCGTTTCGGAGAAGGGGCATGCCATGTTTCTCGACCTCGGCGTCGGTAATTTCGGAGTGCAAGCAAGCTTCCGTGACGAATATGAGGTCCCAGACATGTGACGCTTGACGTAGCCGCAGTTCGGCAAGCTTGTTCAGGATACCTTGTGCATTAATGTACATGCAGGAAAGTTTCTGTTCTTAGCAATGAATCGTGTGATGCGTGTTTTGGATGAAATGTTGTGCCGACCGGTGAAATATCGGCCACTAATCGTTTTTTAGGTGTGGCGACGACGAACTGTGTCAGATCCAGTTACCCCACCATTACCTCTTTGCTATTCTCTTTGTATGTAATGTATGGGGTGTTTGCCAGCTTCGCTAGCTAGTTGATTGAAGTTATCCGAACTCTTGTCGGGAAGTGGTCCGATTAAGTGACTGCTCTCATGTGTTTGCTTTAGCATATGCTGCTTTGATTCGGAGCTCGGAAGGAAGGCTGCTGCGGCCCGCATACCATCCCTCCACTACCATTGCTGACATTTGTCTAGATTGAAGGACCACTTTTACAATCCTCGGGCCACATTCTTTGTAGTTTGGTGATTGGCGCAGACTGGAGATAGATTGCGGTATAACATTTTCCAGGAGAAGGTCTCGCGAATGCATCGCCATTGTTCCTGGTCGTGAGTGGTCGCTTCGCTCTCATCATGACTTCCAGCCTCGGGAACGCCGTGTACCAGGATGGTCCTTGCTACAGATTCCTTCCGGTTTTCGTCCAAATAGTGCTTCGCCTGTCTGCGCTCGCTCCACGGAATATCCGGGAATAGGCGGATGGAACATGACCCATTCCGGAGGCGAGCTATCGATAACAGAACATCTTCTGCTTCATTGGCGGAAGCCAACACAACTCGCAGAAGCCTTGGTTGACCGTAGTGCTGTGAGTATGGGTGACGCGTGATCCGTGTCAACTTGACAGGCTTAGCTACAACACCTATAATGCCACATATGTAGTTCCACTGGTTCATGTCATCAAGTTGTTTTCCTTTTAAGGAATTTGACGTCGACTCTGGAACGTCGGTACAGATAACCGCTGGTATGCTACGTGCAACTAGGGTTGAAGTTAAACAACCAGCTGGTCTGTATACAGTCGATGGAGGCTATTTTGGTACAGCTTCGTCTTCATTTACTCCGGATCCAGTGGGAGTGGCCGAAGGTCTAGGTTTTCAATCGCCTTTGGCTGCAATCAAATTCCAACCACCCCTGGTGTCGAAGTCCTTCTGCATTTTCGGAACTGTTTGGTGGGTGGAAGAGGCCCTGACCGTGCACATTGCAATCAGACTGGTGATGGTTGTTTCAGGCATATTTGAGCAACTGGTGGTATTGACGTTTAAAACCACAGATGGTGCATTTTTAGCGCGCTGCCCAGCCTTCTTCCTAATTTTAATGCAGGGCCTGATGTGAATGACTGGGATTTACTCTATCACGCTTTCTTCAAATGTATCGCTTTTGCTGCTCCTCACTTGTTCTATCCTTACCACCAGTCTTTCGCACTTCTGCGATAATTCATGAACAATCTTTACCAGTGGTATGACTATACATACTGAACAGAACCACAGTGAATCTGCTTTACTATTGTGTAGCTTCAACTGGTTTAATGTGAGCTCGGAACATGCACGATGAGAGTTGCCAAGGCAACTGCTACACTGGATTCCAATTCGTACATTTTTACGGCATGAAGGAAGGCCACTAACTACTGTTGATCTGGATGCGGTCACATGGTCTTTTGATTGGTCGTCACAATCCATTACGTCGATCGACGGTATTCCCATAGGGGCCCGAGCGCTTATGGTTTCCTGCGTATCGCGTGTGCGCTGAATTGTCTGCATGCCTGCCAAGTCGTCGCGTTCTGTGCGTCTGGCCGGGGCAGGTTTAAGCGCTTAGGTCGTTCACACGGTAAACGACGACTGAACGATACGGACACAAAGTGTACGATAGCTACTTTGATGAACGGTCCACAGCTTCGGTTGTTGACTCGTTGGATAAAACGTCGATTTGGCTTTCGTTTGAGACCACAAGTATTGCTGTGTGCTTCGTGATTCGGAGAATTCCTCGATTGTATCTTTGCGGGAGTGGTTCGAAAACCTCAATGTGGAGATAAAGGCGATCCACACAAGCTAGATCCGAAAGATGCCGTGCACTAGATAGCGCTGAAGAAGCTGGGTCAAGTGTGTGTAAACACACATTCGTGTAACAAACGCATCTGAGAAAGAGCGACAAAATAACATCTTCACGGATGAGCGATTAGCATGCCGGCTCGTTCAAGGTCACAGTACTGGAGGTTAAATGGAACTATGTTGATTGTGACGCGCCACATTTTTTCCGCCAAATCAAAAGGGACATTTGTCCTTGACGCCTCAATTCCTCCATGGATCGTGACTTTGAGATTTCTTGGTCAGTGAGGAATTAAACGGTTTGCCTATTTTGATGAACATTACCAGGGTGCGTTGCAACTTACTGGAATGAAAGCAACATGTACGCAGGATGCAACAGCGATGTTTTCCTGCAGGAGTGCGACTTCTCGTTCAACCACTGAGTATAGCTGGATGAGCGCGTATGCAAGAATACAACAGAATGCGTTGCTGCGCTGCATATGAACTGGTTCCCATCCGTTTGTACTCCTGACTTCATTGCAACTACCTAGGAGGACGACAGCATGACTGAGTTTTTCGGCGTTTTTTGACAGTTTTTCCTTCGTTGTTCATTGATCACGATGTTTCTCCCAACCTGATGCTGCATTGCAAACAGTACACGTGGATCCAGTCAGCCGATGAGCATACTGTGTACATACTCCAACCAGCGTCCGCGGTTCGCATTCAACACCTACCCCAGCGCTGTACCGTAGGTTGTATTTCTAATCTTCAGCTGGCGGTCCCTCGTATTGCTCATTTAGTGCTTTCAGCATCAATGTTCAATGCTTGGTGGACATCACCGGCCTTGCTATAGTGTTGTACGGCTGGTTCTTAACCGCATACTCCACGAATACCTAAAACAAAAGGCTACGCTAGGTTCACCGTTGCTCCTTACCTATGATTTGATCGTCGGTGATGATACGTCCACGTGAATCAACCAACCGACCGATCATCTGTTCAGTGGTCGTGAGAACCAGTGGCGTATTGGACCAGTTCTTCTGCAGCACTTTAAAGGCACTAGGCACATGCTGAAACGTGTGAGTGATTGTGCCAGCTTGACTCAGTTTGACACTAATGTTCGCCGACAATAACGACATATCAATGTCCGATCTCGTCGAGCTCGTCATCTTGAACCGCCCATGAAAGCCCTGTATTGTACACCACGATACCTTGGTGGAACATTATTGCTTTGTTGTGTTCACCGGCCTAGTGTTGTCTAGAAGTTGTCAATTCACTTGCCTCCGATTCCTTCTTTCTTTCTGCTTCTGTTCCTTCACTTACATGATCCTGTCATTTTGCTGCGATATTCTGATAGGCAATTTTGTTACACAGTTGCTAATTCCCCCTGTTATGGCGGCATAAGTCAATGAAATTGGATCTTCTTCACCTTCACCTTCGAATCGCGCTATTTTAAACTAAACTGAACGCTTCAGAGTCGAAGCTCTTTTTATGCTGCATATGCATTAATCCATTGCATCACCGTCATGACTTTTCGTCTGTCAACACTCAAAGTTTGCGCGTTAACTTGTGTTGACTGTATGATTCCGGTGCCTTGGAAGTGGGTATACGATCAACTGTTGACTTAGTCTATATCCTCCTAGATGTCATTGACGCAACCCTCATTATTCGTCTTTTGGTTAACCTCTCAGTTATTTGTATTATCGCGCCTATTCATAACCATCTCCACTTTTTTAGTCACCCTCGACCTCAAACAATCCCCATCACACGTTCCCGCTTATCGATCACCTCCTTCAATGCCACCACCAACGGCACCATCTCCTCTATCTCCCAGTCTATCTTTTCAACCCACACCAAGCAGCACCGAGGTACCATTGCCATCCGATCTCCCTTCCCCAATCGTGCGCCTTGAGAACCACATACCGACTGCTCAACTTCCGTCTCCCATTGCACCTCGGGCTCACCTCATGCGCGAGGCGCGTTGCAAAGCTGTGCCTATCGTCGATGCTTCCCCAACCTTGCTTGAGTCCCCATATTCCAAACCTGCCAGATCGAAGCGACGGCGTGTTGTACGAGAGCAGGACAGTGGCGATGATGAGAACACCGGTGGTCGTAAGTCGAAAAAATCCCTCACACGCAAGTCACTCGGTCCACACGCAAATCCTCCGGGTCCACGAGTCGTGGAGGTTCACATGAATCGTCCTGGCCAGGTAGCTTTCCGTGCGGATTTAAAGCACTCAACTGAACGGGTGGAAGCTAGCGGGTCAAGAAGCAAAAAGTCGGCAAATACTGTGACCATCACCAAAGGGTATTCCAAAGATACCGGCGCACCGAACGCGGCTAAAGTAATACCGTTTACAAAGCCTGTAACATTGCCTTGTTAGATTGGTTCTTTTTGTTACGCGCGTTGCGCGTGATTCCGTTTTCAGGGAAGTGGATTTTCCCAACTCTAATACACGGATGTCCAAAGTCCGGCTCGCGGGCCAAATGCGGCCGCGTTAACGTTTTAACTGGCCCGCGGCCTCATCATGAAATAATGAATTCAAGCTTGCATTTTTTATCTACAGATGACATTACATAGAGTACAAAATCTACGGACGTTACGAGTACATAATTCGATGTCGTCAGATTCCGGCGAAAAGCAATGATGTACTATAGTTTATTTTTAACCAACTAGGAAAAGTCAATTTAGTACTTTTACTAAGGCGTCCCAACTAAATCAAAATTCCGAATGATCTGCAGATCTCAGTTTCACCATTCGCATTAAAATGCAATAAAAATTTATAACAGTCGTTTTTCATTATTATCTTAATGTCAGCTTGAATATGGCCCGACATATTTATACCTCACAAAAGGTAGCTTTCCTTGCGAAAACTTTGGGCACCCCTGCTCTACTACGACCCGTTTTTCTTCTGTCCTGAATTCCCATGCGTATGAAGTCACTCTTATCTGACATGTGCTCATTGCTTACTCCGGCACAATCCACTGCAACTTCTAACCCTAATTTCTTAATCTCTACTAAAATCACTTCGATTTTAATTCACGTCACAACGTGGGGTCGGGGAGGCTTTGGGGTTTTTTAGTTGAAGTTCAGCTCCACTGACTTTCTCAGCCCATTGACTCAACGGTTGACCAACACCCTCATTAGATAGAGACACTAGTCTTTCGACCTGGCACAGAGACGTAGAGGCTATCAGGCTCTATACCTAACCCAGTCGTGGGCAACATTTGTCACAACAGATTTATTGTATGTGCTTCAACTGAACCCCCAGATCCTAGAAGTGCCATATCTACAGTTAAGTATTCGAAACGCTACTTATCCCGTGGATCTTCCCAGCCGCTCATGCTGACGATGTTTATTGTTTCGCCTATGGACCTCGGCGTTTTGTGCCACATACTGTATCCTACCTTGTATATCCCATAGGCGGGAGAGCCTATGGTGCGCTGAGGCTGGAGGTGGCTAGATCCTGACAGATGGTCTACACACTGCTGCTACCGTTGCGCCATATT